CTCTCTCTCTCTCTCTCTGAGATGTGACACCCCTCTTTCAGCTCTCCCTCTTGGTTCAGTCCACGGCCTCGTACCCGGAAGAAGTAGTAAACATTTGCAGTCAGCTGACTTCTGTTCACCTGACTGCAATTAGCAGAACACCATTGCATTGATATCCCCAGTGTAGCTGACTTACTACTATATCGTTAAAGGATAGGCTACGTTAATGACTGCTGGCTTAGTTAGTAGCTAACTAGTATTTCGCTTTTCACCGTTAGCTGCCAGTTAGCTTAGCATTTGGAGCATTTAGTAAGTGTGTAGCATTAGCTGGTGGAGCTAGCTGAACACTGAACACTCAAACCAAAGTCAGCAGGGGAACATGGACAAGATTGCTCAAGGTGAGTGAAATCCACAGTGCGACAATCATACATGTTATAGCATGCAGGCTATCTAACACAACATTGGCATGCACAGAGTGAAGTGTGCCTGCTACAGTATTGTTTAAAAATATGATATGAACTTGTTCTGCCCTGTGTGTCTGCCTTCTCGTTGAAATTGAACTGACTGTGAGCTGTGTTGGTCCTGCAGATGTGGGTGATATCCAGTCCCGACTGTTGGACCACAGGCCGGTCATCAATGCAGAGATCCGATACTTTGTGAGAGAGTTTGAGGTACATGACATGAAGTTATGATGATGTGTTTTAAAGCTGCAAACCATTTCAGAACTCTATAATTGCGTACAAATGAGAGGTGACACTGCCCCTTTGTGTTTGGCTCTTGGATTCGGTGCCACTGAGGACAGATACTGGACTTTTTGCCATTATTTTATTTTTTTTTATCTTTCAACATGTCACATCAGACACTCACAATTGATTTTTTTTTAGTCAAATTCACATCCATTTAAGTGTCACTAGTTAGCTGCCACTTTCTTGCCCGTATTAGAATAACATCAACCGTGGATGTTAAAAATCCCCTGAAGGCACACATTTCATAAGGCCCACATCATTTGTGTTATCTGTGACATTCTGGGTCACAAATAAAATGAAAACATATTTTTGTAGTTTTTAACCATTCAGCCCAACAAATGACCTGCAAATTTCAATATACTGTAATTATCTCCACTATCAGCTATTTCATTAAGAACCTAATTTAGTTTTCCTCACGGAGTAAAAGATTCTGTCTTTTGTATTTAGTGCAAATTGACAAATAACCTCTTTAGTGGAATGATCTATATATACGGTACTTTAAAAATACAGTATTGTCTCTGATAAGACAGGAAATCATTTCAACTGTTGAAATAATGTTATGTTTTTTAAGCAACATGTTATCGTTCCTTGGCATTTTGGCTAAGATCAAGTGTACTATCTGTTATCGTTTCATTATGTTCTCTATAAGGGAACAACATGTTAAACAGAGTTTTAGATTAGATTTTTACTCCATGCACTGACCTGATGTTGCGGTAACATTAGAATGCTGCACTCCTAACAAATTTTCCCCCGGGGATCAATATAGCATTTCTCATTCTGATTCTGACTGTTGGACTAAGTGATAAGAAGCATATGATTCCAGCATGTGACGTGTGTGTGACACAAAGCTTTCCTCTTCTGCTGTTTAGGAGAAACGTGGACACAGAGAGAGCAGACTGCTGGAGAACCTCAATAAAATGGTGCTGGAAACAAATGAGCAAATGCTGCCCACCAGTTTAGAAACCATCGCCCAGCAGCTGTCTGACGTCACTAAACGGTGTAAGTCTCTTCTCTCAGATTCACACTTTGCTAAAATTGCATAATGTAATGCTTGACCCAACAATCTAATCAGACACTTGGATTTGTTGCCACGTCTTCAGAAAGAAATTGCAATTAAGTATTTTGTGTTGGCAGGTTTACAGATGTCACATAAGCCTGTGCCATTATCAAAACAATGAGCTGATTGTCGTAGGATATTCACCAGCAATGTATGTAACCTTAAGATAAGATGTAGATAAGATGTTCCCTTATTGATCCCCTGTGGGAGACATTTGAGTGTGACACTGCAGCACAGGGGAATTGTAGTGCAAAAAGTACAGAAGTACAAAAATACAATAAAGAATAATAAAATATATATATAATATTATAAAGATATAATAGAAAATATAAAGACTGTAATGAAAATATATACACCAGAAAGTAAGAAATATGGTGTGCAAAAATATTTGAAACAGTGTATAACTGACTGTAAATGTGCAGTGATTACAAGGTAAGGTTTGTGCAAAGAGTTGAAGAGAACATTTTCTAAATCTAAAAAACACACTTTCATATAATTGTACTATATTTTGACACAACAAACCTAGTTTGCAATCTTGAATGTTTTTTTTTTTTTATTGTGTTGTGTTAGAGTAAATGTACTTTTTGAATATAAATATTAAGATCATTTCTTTGCTTTTCTCCCACAGTGGAGGCTGCAAATCACATGGCGGAGAGAGTCCAGCAGAGGGAGCTAGAGGCACAGCAGGTAAAAACAACTCAAGATAAAGGACTTGTACAGAGCAGGTGGACACAATATTATAGCTCTGAAAAAACCTGATTGGATTGCAGATTGTTCAGGCTTTATTGTGTCCCCTGTGTATATAATGTCCAGACACCACAATGAGCCCCCATATCTGCCTTACATCATCAGCATCTTCAGTGTAGTGAATGAATGTCGTCAAATTTAAAAACAGCTGTCTTAATCTCTTACTATAATTGTCCACAAAAAGAACTGCTCAAGTTGTGCAGTTAAAGTTTTCTAAAGATAAAAATTGGTGTGAGACATTTGCAAAAACTTTGTGCCACCTTTTTTGTTGCGTTCTCATCTTCCTGTGTCCCTCCAGAGCACGCAGCTGCAGGCGAACATGGAGCGTTTGAAAGATGAGTGGGCAGAGTTTCTGAAGGAGCAGCAGAGATTAAAGGAGGAGGTGGATGAGGAGCACGCCAAGGCCGTAGGACAGCTCAGCACTCAGTACTGCGAAATGAAGAAGGACTTGACCAAGTTTCTACCCCTCTAATCAGCGGATGTTTGCGAGGGTGCGAGTAAACAAACACACCTTCTCTTATTACGCGAACGCTCGTGTTTATTATGAACATGGACCGGTCCGTTCTGCACGTGCGACACGAAGCTATTGGCTTCGGTTGATGTACTTGGTGGTTGGCATGAAAATGTTTTGCTCCGGCACAAGACTCAACATTTTCCAAATCATAAATATGAAAGTGATTAACAATGTGGCATTTTCACAGGCCATCAAACTCAAGTTTTCTGTCTTTAGCACATGGAATTTTCACAGCCCCTAAAAAGTCTGGAACATGTCTTTTTTAAACAAGCAATCATTTGATTGTTCCTTGGCCGTGAAGTTTTCAACATTTCAAGATTTTTAATGGATGCCTGCCTGAAGGGTGCTGATGATAAATTTGCATCGGCCTCTAGTTGAAAGGAACCCTGGCGTTTGGCACCAAGGCGAGATATTCTAAGCACCGAAAGCGACATCATTAAATGTTAGAAAAGCCCTTCTGAGCAGGTGTGTTTAAAGCACAGGTCATGTGTTGTAGAAACGAGCTCAAACAGAACCGTTTCCAGAACATATCATCCCTCACCAGCTCTCCGGTGTTTGGAACATTCGACCTCTGACATAAACTTCAAGTAAACCAACTGTCTATGAAGTAACTTTCATTATAAAAAGCTCTTTGCTGACACCAATTTGAATGATCCGCAGCAGCTGTTTTTTGTTTGCTTTGCCACCTCAAATCTGATTTCAATGAGTCACAAATCCAACATTTTCACTGCTGTTTAAACAGAGGAAACATAAATCAGATTTTGTTTTCTGATTTGAACTTCCTTCTGGTTTTCAGTGCTTGTCTTGCTTTATGCTTAGAGTGCTTAAAATTAATGATAAACACAAACTCCATGTGTTCATTTGTGTTTATCCCTTTCTGCTAACTAGATTAATTGCGCACAGATGCACATGTTTCAGCACAGCAAGCACACTATCTAAAAGTTGTAATATGAGCTATAAAAGAAGTGAAATCATGTATGTTGGTCTTGACCCTGATGATGTTGATGTTAGACTCCAGACAATGTTGGGTTGTTGGACAGGTTAATGGATGGGTGGGCACACTGGGCACATTCCTGGCATGGCTGAGAACAGAGTTCATCTCAGACAACGTAATAGAACAAATATTTTAGAAACCCCCCACCCTTTCACACTCCTTTAAAATGCTGAGACACCTCAACTGCTAAACGTCACATCTGAAGAAGCAGGATTGGACTTCACCTCATCCATCAGCTGAAGTAAAATATTCTGTAAGAAAAATAAGAATAAAGCAAAACAAGCC